AGGGCTAGTGGTAGCAGAATGTCAGACACCATAACAAACCCGCGACCCAGTGGTGGAGGGCTAGTGGTAGCAGAATGTCAGACACCATAACAAACCCGCGACCCATTGGTGGAGGGCTAGTGGTAGCAGAATGTCAGACACCTTAACAAACCCGCGACCCATTGGTGGAGGGCTAGTGGTAGCAGAATATCAGACACCATAACAAACCCGCGACCCAGTGGTGGAGGGCTAGTGGTAGCAGAATGTCAGATGCCTTAACCTCTTGGCCACTGCGGCCCTTATTAATAGACTACATTTACAGGATGTTAATATCGCAAACAAACAGTTGCTTATAATGTTAATACTATTGTCTAATATACACCCAGATAAAGTATACAAGAAGTTTGGTCATCAGATTACATATAAATTGACCAGAGTGGACATTTGTCAATTTGTTCAATGTACATACTATAAATAGCTCACCATAAAGATGAGTTTTGTTGTGTAACTGTCATGAAGTGATAGTACATTTGCCCTTTCATGTGTATCTGAATGACTGAGGTCGACTATGAGATTTGAGATAAAAAGATTCTAACTGTTTCTTGGTGATTAGGTTATCACCAGTTAGGTGGCTTCATTGTAAGAAGGTATAAATACACACCACTAGGTCACATACACTAATGAATCGAATCACTTTGCCTCATTCACCTACAAACTGGAATCGGTAGGCCACACTGAGTATACCTGGTAATGTTAAAGCTCAAAAATATAGTGGATGTTCAGGATCAGAACATATCACTACCTTTTCTTGTGCATAGGACCAAATGGTTTAGAAATATAGTCTGTTTTCTCCAGTCTGTATAGCATGGATAAATATTTTTAAGATCCCCATACCACTGCCAAAAACTAGAACTATGCTTTGGAAACTGATTTTTCACCATACCATGACTATAGCTTTGATAAATATCTCGATTATAAGTTACTGTCTGATCTGAGGACCTATTTAAATGAACCAAATCATTGGTGCAAAAATAGGTCAATAAAAACTACAGCAAAATGTTAAATCGTTGATAAATCATTGTTTGGAGTAATATGTTAGCAGTTATTCAAGTTCAGGTACTTGTAGTTAAACAGAGAGTTAAGAAAAGAAATGGACAAAAATCTATACATCATGTAATGTGTAGGATTTGTATGAGTAGCCAACAGCAGGAGGTGATTATAGAATTTCTACTGAACAAGTACATGGCGCTAGTCAATCTAAGCTCATCCTCAATATAGGGTAGCTTCATACAAGCTTCCATTGTTCATCATGTGTCCCACAGCCACAGATGATCCTGCATGTATAGATGATGGTTAGATAGAGCAATGCCAGCGGAACATTGCACCCAACATGGTCTGATCTGTGAGCGGACCCGCGACCGCGTATTGATTCAGGATAACCACCTATCACAAATTTATATTGGTTAAGGCAAACGGCTAATTGATGAGAGACCATCCAAGCTTCCTCATAACATTGGTGAGGAGACTTGCATTACATTACAGCAAAAGACCTCTGATTGTGTGGTGATGATCTGATGGAAGGGGAAATGTTTTGAACCAAATATCAATTTAGGATTCATTTGAAATGGCTACATGTATCAGGAAGGACAGAGGAAGGATCAATATTCTATTAATTACCTATCCTGATCGTGACAGCATTGATGACCGTAGTTACAGCTGTGATGACCACAGTGATGACCGCACCGGGCACCTTATTAGAGACGGCAGCAGTTTACATTGCTGTATACATGCATAGCATCAAGATATCTGTTTACTTAATGATAATTAATTATTGAACCTAGGTATAGATTAGACCACTAGATAATTAATTACGGTGTTGGTTTATTGAATTAGTTAGTTACTCCCAAACCCAACACACAGGAGACTTAGTAATATATTCTGCCTACATCTTCCTTCATCTGAATGTGGATGATTATAGAAATAAATAACTTCACTTTGTATTGACTATTTATACAGGAATGTCACCTGTATCAGCAAATTTATAGGTATAATTGTCCTGGATATTCATGCTCATCGCTAGTTCTTTATAGCTGTATCCAAAATATTCTGCTTGAATTCTTCTTATCATTTTCAATTGTTGTTTTGATATGACAAAAATATATATGTAACCTATCTATTTACTCAAAATGAATACAACATTTTCAGTACTCAGTTTTTATTGCAACAACACTTAAAGCCCCGAAGATCATTTTCTTCAATTTCAGATTCATGATTTCAAATATATATATCTAAAGATGCTTGAGCAATTTCATGAAAATCAAGTTCTACAATTCATGAAAGTAAAATGTAGATTATGATTTGTATCTAATCTTATCATCGAAATTCAAGTAGATAAATTGTGTAACCAGGCGACCCGGCCATGCCAGACACACATATGTAATATACAGTAGTTTTTGAGAGGCGGTGACATTGCTGTACATGTAAATAACACTTAGTAAGCTGAGATGTACTTCTGCATACTATGGCATTAAGAGTAGTAGGGAAATGGGGATAACAATCCTGAGGTGATATTTTGATTAAAATATAAAGAGTGATATCAGAAATAATAACATCTCATAATTCAAAACCCTTTCTGTAGGGTTTAACATCTGGTGTGAGAAAACTATTAACAGGAAAGAGAAAACCAGCTGCTAGTTCTTGTTAGCTATGTGTGTGAGGACCTCCTGATTTATTTAGTGATGAAAACAATGACGTCTACCATAGTATGTAGTTATCAAAACACGAGGTAGTCTGCCACATTATTTTATCTTATCAACAAATAACCTGCTCATATCAGTGAAGTGTCCTTCAGGAACCGTGTAACATTACCTCTCTCTTGATTGACATTTCAATCCAAATGCAGATTATTTCATGGCTTGCCTGTCTGGCTGAGATTCTTAAAATATGACATGTACACATCCTTAGTTGTCTCCAGAATTCTGTGGATTTAGACTGATGGGTTTGTCTCCTACAACATGGGTTTAATGGGAATATTTTATTCATTTCTGTTTAATTTATGTCTTGCAGGAATTGAGTTTAACAGACTAGTGAATGACAGGATTGAAGACAAAGACAATGTACCGGTGGAATCCCCTCTAACAACTGAACTGCCGGAATTACTGCAAACAACGAAAAACCTATCACAAGTTGGATTAATGATTTGGAATATTATTTTGTTGAAACGTGGTTCAATGTGTGTTGTGTAATTCCTGTGGATGTTATTCTGTTGGAATTTTCTTCATAAAACTGCACATTCATGATCTACTTAATAGTAAGTATTTTACCGGTGATCGGCCCAGGAGGCTAGTGCAAAAACATGGGTCAAAAGTAGGGTGGGATTATTACTGGTTTTGAGCCTCTGTCTGTTTCACCGGTCATCCTTATATAATCTTGCAGTCATTTTATTTCTCTTTACAGCGAGCATGCTTGATCTTTTGATATTAAGTTTTATTATTCCTTGGTATGTTTTTCTGTACATATAATATATACAATAAATGCTATTGACCTAAATTGATGAATAGATGCCGAGTCAAGGGAATATAGCTCATTTTACTGGGCTTTAGTTTCAGGACTATATCATTTTCATAACGAACCAATTAAAACTTTACTCAGAAATCACCCGCCATTCACCCTGCCCACTCGATGTCATCTCATGGTGTTGACTGAGCCAATCGGGTGAGAATTGGGCAAGCTAGTATTCGACTTTGACCCCTCCGTTTGTTTATGTCAATTGAGACATCACTGCTGACAATACTGAAAGAGTAGACATGGCTCTCGATAGGTTTTTAGAACTTGCGGCTTGGAATATTGCTTTTAAAAAAAAAATGTCTGGGGTTTGCATCAGTATAATAAAAGAGATAAAGTTTGGGATTTTGGAGTATATCTTGATCATATACTGTCACAAATTGAGTTTACTGGCGACATGGAGCAAAACCAGGGAAACATATATTTGTGACAGTATACTCCAGTATATTAGCGCAAATCTCAAAACACAGTAGGGTTATCCCCATTCTAATTTATATAAGCTAAAAATAGTGAAAAACATGCCATGATTTTAGGTTATTTTTGTTGCGTTTTTGTGCCTGTTTCACTAAGGAATGGCCATGAGTCAAAGATGGGATTGATAAAGCCATGTGATAGAGCCTATAACTTTATATCAGAACATGGAGCTTATCTCAGTGTCTGTTGTCATTAAGAACACTGAAATAGGATTTTGAATTTATAGCCAACTATTTCCCGTTGACCAAATTGTGTACATTTGGTTTTAGGAAGTTTTCAACAGAAATTTATGCAAATTCTAGAAATGCCAGATGTTGAGTTTTAGTTTTTATCCTATCCTAGATTCGATTTGATTCAAAAAGGGATACATTTTTAATAAATATAATTGGTTTTATAATAGCATCAATATCACTAATGTGGAATACAAGTATTAGTTGTGGAAGTTATTTTCATATTTTATATATATCATGTGTGCCTATATAGCTATAGGCATACATCGTAGATTATAGTCTTGGAAATTTAAATATTGTACGAAAAGAAAAAGACATGCACTGCTATCAAAGAAATGCTTGTCAAATATAGGTGGTGTGCTCATATTTGAAATATTTCATTGAATGTCAAATCAGCAACAATAACAGGTTGTAGTAAAATTCTTTAGTGATCATAACTAAGACCTGTGGGTGATGAAAAGAAAGGCCTAAAGGTCAAAGGTCAATATAGAGGTTATACATGTACATATATATATATTACAAGTGATAAAGGGTATAACAGTCATTCACACTGTCATGAGCTTTTACATGTGTTTGGGTTAAAGTTGAGGTTTGTTCAATTTGTGACCTAAAGTTCAATAATAATTTCTGATCTAAAGTTCAATAATAATTTCTGATCTAAAGTTCAATAAAAATGTAAGAGCTATACATTTATAAGGATGGAAGGATGGAAAGAACATCTTTGTTTGTTGCTGTAGATGTCAAATGGGGAAATACAAGTTATTGGGAGCAATTTGGCTTTTGTTTCTTATTGTTGGGGAAATATTTATATTTTAGTAGAGCTTCAATGCAATTTAACAGCATTCTTGTTAACAGGAATACAACACAGTCAGTAACAACATCTTCGAGTGTTTGATGTTCCACTGTAGAACATAACAGTTTTGCCAATTTTCAGTCCTACATTATCAGTGAGGAATAAGTTTCAAATGGTGCTGGTTAACTCAATAAAGGTATACTTACTATTTAAGACTAGTTATAGCAGAATTGTGTTAAAGTGCCACAACTGTATTCAGATGTAGCAATGCAAGGTGGCATTTAAAACAATGAGCATCATATCACGGGTTTACTGTACCTCTACTTAGGAATACACGATCTGACATCAGTTTTCATTCAACTTAGATTTATGAAACAAGTCTTAAAGAAATTTCATTTTAGCAAAACCTTGGTGAATTGAAATTCTTGAAAAAATTGTGACGAGTTAAATGAATTTCATAAGAAAAATATAAAATGACCCCATGATGAATAATGATTTGGGAAAGATTAGGAAAAACAGACTTCCCTGTTTTACTGAAGTCTAATATTCCACCATCTTGAGTTTAACTACTGTATTGTCTCTACTATGATGTCATAAGAATTATAATATATTCTGAAAGTCTGTGATATGATTTAAATAATTACAAGAAGATGCCATCATCAGTATCCCTAGCTTGGTAGACAGGTTAGGATGAGCAGCCCATGTCAGGTACAACGATATTTGACAATTGTGAATGGTAACAGCCCAGCAGTTCAAATTACTGTATTTCAATAATAATTCAGACCAAATAATGTTACAAACATTAATAGCATATCTAATACTGCAAAATGATGTCTGACAGGCACATTCAGTGGGCAGCAAGATACAGTTACAGAAACGTTGATCGCTGAAGTCATTTCTCTTCTTTGACCTTGATGTCTTCTCAAGCCATGATGTGCCATCCTGCTGTCCTAACGTCACTTATATAATAACCAAGAAAGGAAAACAAACAATTATGTTGATCCGAGTGTGATCAGTTCAAGCGTAAAATGTAAATGAAATTATGTACCCTTTAATTTTCATTCAATCAGTATATCAACCTTTTCTGCATCAGGATGCAGGTATAATCCATGAAGCACTGAATTACATTTACTGAGATATGGATGAAAGAGCCTGATATCTATAGATGAAAATATCTTCTTACCCAAGTCAATAAAGTGTCAAATGTGGTTCAGCATCTGCAACATCAAATCAGTAGAGCAAGCCTAACTGCATCATTGATACTAAGTTTAAAAAACCTTGTAAATTTATATAGTAACACAGATCTTCCTAACCAGCAAAATGGACCAACAGATCCCATTTTAATTTCCCAAGATAACTACGTTGAAATGGGGAAAATGAATGTAATAACGGTATGAGTATATATGCAAAATATCTAACTGCAGTAATTTACTGAATAACACTGTCATTATATATTGTGATTGACACAGATAACATCCCGAATAGCAGATTGTTTCCCCAGCTGATATCTACCACACATGTCCCTTAGTTTGAGTACAAAACAGGTACTGTACAACGAGAATACAACATAGTATATTTAAGTGTGAGTACAGCAACGAGAATGGATGACCAGCTGTTGTCCACACTCAAATCAAACACTTTGTCTGCTGGTGCTGACTAAAAGTACATTAAGCTTGGTGGTTTCATTAACAAGATGATTTATATCTGTTTTCTCACTATTTAGTCTTTGTTTATTGAATATGGCTCAATTTTACTCGAATTGTATTGACCTCAGATGAAAAGCTCTAAATAATAACATTTTATGATTATTTTAGTTAAAAATGCGTGAATTGTTTATTATTGTGTTAGGTTGATCAATCTTTACATTACTGTGATTGTCAATAGACTAAGGCTGTAAGAGTTGCCTCCCTTGGGCTGGCTAACAAGCCCCGACATTGGGGTGGTGGAGTGTACAGTAGACAGATCAACAAACACAGAAAAAGATAGTGCATTATAGCGGTATTGATCAGGCCATTAGGATTGGGCAGGCAGCAAGTCTACCACGCGAGCTGGCAAACCGTATGACATGCTACATTGTGGCTGAGTGTGCCTCCACACTGATCACTTCCCTACAAATATTCTACATTTCCTCGTCATCCACGGTCGCAGTAGTAATAGGACTCGATGGGCGAGTAGTGATACATGTCACAGATTTCACACAGGTCCCACTCATTCATGGCCGATGTAGGCGCGTGTTCGGATGACAACGGGGACAGGGCATGTCCTTGGACACCCCTACTCTGCAGGTAGGCCAACCCTATCCCGATTTATTTATCCCCGCCCAAACATTTCGACTGATTGGTTGAATCGCAACTGTTGTGTTTTATTGGGTATTACCTGTTTTCATATAACATGATATACATGAATTGTTATTCAAGGCTAATAATGATAGAAAATCTGCTAAGTCTTTTTCTTCTTCATTCTCTTGGTGATTGGTCTGGGTACCAGTATGCTGCCAGGAGGATAAATGGATTGGACTGGTTGTGTAACTCATTCCTACAGTCAAGTGGTATCAGTCAATTGTCATTGCTCTTACTGTAATTAAAGTTTTACAAACACACTGTCTCAGCTTTGCTTACCAGAGACTTTTCCAGTTGAACTAGCATCTATCACTAATGTTAATTGGGTTTTTTTCATACTTTTTGGTAAAAAAAATCTATCTCTGTTTCAAATAGCAAAGGCAGCAACATAATTATTTGTTAGTGAAAGACATGGGTTAATACAATTGACAAGTCAGGGGATGTATTATGAGGTACAGGTGTTGAATGTGATCTATCAACATGAGTAATGCTTGTAGATGTTGTCATGTTCACCTGCAATATACATGACATGTGATATCTGTTCTTGTATATCTGGGAACTTGTGATCTACATAATGTTTATATCCCTGTAGTCTACATAGGTATACACCTGTAGTCTACATATCTATACACATGTAGTCTACATAGGTATACACCTGTAGTCTACATATCTATATACCTGTAGTTTACATAGGTATACACATGTATTCTACATAGGTATACACCTTTAGTGTACATATCTATACACATGTAGACTACATGTGTATACCTATGTAGACTTCATGTGTATAGATATGTAAACTACAGGTGTATACCTATGGAGAATACATGTGTATACCTATGTAGACTACATGTCTATAGATATGTAGACTACACGTGTATAGATATGTAGACTATATGTGTATAGATATGTAGACTATATGTGTATAGATATGTAAACTACATGTGTATAGAAATGTAGACTACAGGTGTATACCTATTTGGCTACAGGTGTATACCTATGTGGCTACAGGTGTATACCTATGGAGAATACATGTGTATACCTATGTAAACTACAGATATATAGATATGTAGACTACATATGTATAGATATGTAGACTACAGGAGTATACCTATGTAGACTATAGGTTTATACCTATGTAGACTACAGGGATATATATATGTAGACTAAATGTGTATAGATACGTAGACTACAGGGATATATATATATAGACTAAATGTGTATAGATATGTAGCCTACATGAGTATAGATAGGTAGACTATATGTGTATAGATATGTAAACTACAGGTGTATCCCTATGTGGCTACAGGTGTATACCTATGTAGAATACATGTGTATAGATATGTACACTAAAGGTGTATACCTATGTAGACTACATGAGTATAGATATGTAGACTATATGTGTATAGATATGTAAACTACATGTGTATAGAAATGTAGACTACAGGTGTATCCCTATGTGGCTACAGGTGTATGCCTATGTAGAATACATGTGTATAGATATGTACACTAAAGGTGTATACCTATGTAGACCATACATGTAGATTACATGTGCATAGATAAACAAAGATTACAGGTGCATAGATAAACATACATGTAGGCTACAGGTGTATAGCTATATATACATGTAGACTACAGGTATATAGCTATATATACATGCAGACTACAGGGGTATAGCTATACATACATGTTGACTACATGATTATAGATAAACAAAGACTACATGTGTATAGATAACCAAAGACTACATGTGTATAGATATAAAAAAGACTACAGTTGTATAGATATACATACATGTAGATTACATGTGCATAGATAAACAAAGATTACAGGTGCATAGATAAACATACATGTAGGCTACAGGTGTATAGCTATATATACATGCAGACTACAGGTGTATAGCTATACAGACATGTTGACTACATGTGTATAGATAACCAAAGACTACATGTGTATAGATAAAAAAAGACTACAGGTGTATAGCTATACACCTGTAGTCTACATGTATGTTTATCTATACACCTGTAGTCTTTTTTTATCTATACACATGTATTCTTTGTTTATCTATACACATGTAGTCAACATGTATGTATAGCTATACACCTGTAGTCTGCATGTATATATAGCTATACACCTGTAGTCTACATGTATGTTTATCTATACACCTGTAGTATTTGTTTATCTTTACACATGTAATCTACGTATACATGTATTTGTATCTATACACCTGTAGTCTACATGTATGTATATCGATATACACCTGTAGTCTACATGTATGTTTATCTATACACCTGTAATCTTTGTTTATCTATACACATGTAATCTACATGTATGTATATCTATATAAACCTGTAGTGTATATGTATGTATATCTATATAAACCTGTAGTGTATATGTATGTATATGTATATAAACCTGTAGTGTATAGGTATGTATATCTATATAAACCTGTAGAGTATATGTATGTATATCTATATAAACCTGTAGAGTATATGTATACTCGGATATTGGTGTATTAGTCTACACTCAATAACATGTACGGATGTTGATGCAGTTTATCTTGCTCTATCACACAACTATTGGTTGAGAATCTCTCACCAACCACCAGGTTGTATCTGTGGAACCCAATCATTCACAAAAATTGTGGATGTCAATCACACAGACTGCAACTATCACTAGAAATTAAAGATTGATTTACCAAACCTGCCTCATCTTTTTCGCCCTCTTTAGTGAGAGTATTGGCAGAATAAGACATTCTACTCAACTCACTTGAGTATGACATAAATAAATGTCTTGTCACTGGTTGACATGTCTACGAGTTCCTCATGCTAATAAGAATCCTAGTGAAGGAATCGAAAAAGGCAATGCAAGAAAAAATGCAACATTGCTACAAGATTTCAAACTCATTTCGCTACTTAAATCATCTGATCACTGGCTTTGTTTAGGACTTAGAACAAGATCAAGAACTCTTGAGCTTTGATGTACAGAGATCTGTTTAAATAGGCCATGCTTGGGGAAATTACTTTGTAAACATTCAGCTGAAATAGTAATTGTATTAGCATTAAGTGGTAGTGTGCAGTTGACTGGTGAGTGAAGGGTAAGCTGTAGAGCTGGGGCTAATCTTGTCAAACAAACCAGTCTCCTAGATGTTGACTCTCCAGTCTCTATTCTCCTGATCACCTGATGATGTTGATGGCTGCAGAAACTTGATTCCTGTGTATTGTAGGTCAGAAAACAACTTTAAGAAATTAAATCATGAAATACGAAATTATATATATATGTACCAGTTATTTTAAATCTATGGCATATATATATATAGTATAAGTGGAAAGGTGCGGTTTTCGGTATATTACAAATGTTATGTTTTAATAAAATAAAAAAATCTGATTTTCCCCCCAAATTAAGATGTTGATTAAATACTATTACAGATTTTTGTTTGCATGGTATTGTACCCCTCCATCCATCGTTTAATCTTCTTTGTCTTTGTTGTCTTTCCAGCCGCTGTAATTATTATATGACAATGCCACTATATAAACTTCACGAATCCAGTTGGCAGTGATCATGAGCTATGAATTCTATTTGGCCCAATTATTGAGTTCATCATTGCTACAGTACCAGTTGGCTGAAGGCTGTTCTGTAATATCATATTAAAATAAAATGATTACTATAGATATTTCTATTTTGAAACCTGAAGTTGATTTTATCCCCCTGATAAGGTAAACATTGGAGTTACCTCCATTACTTATGAATTTATACCCAAATGTTCAAAAACATTGTTCACACTACTTCTTATAAGGTACTGTACAAAAACATTGTTCACACTACTTCTTATAAGGTACTGTACAAAAACATTGTTCACACTACTTCTTATACGGTACTGTACCGAGTTAAAGGATACTTGGAGAGAATGTGAACAAAGTGTGTAGATTGGAGTAACCTCCCCTATGTATGCCAATTTGTTAAAAATTTCAATATAATCATGATCATCCTACACTTCATGTTGCAGGCAATTAATAATTAGTGTGCCATTCTGCCAACTTTTCTTTTTTATGTGATCATGATTAACAAAAATGATTTAAACAGGTATGATTTCTCTATTTCTTCAAAATTTGATCAAAATAAATTTTAAAAAAGTCTTGTGGAAAAGAAAAGTACTCGAAAACATAAAACTAGGTCAATATTCTGGGTTATCAACATTCTTGAAAAGTGTTTACTCTGGCTTGGAGATGTTAATTACAGAATTAATTACTCCCTGTTACACTACACAGGTTAAATAGCCTGTGATATCACCCAGCTAATAATTACAGCACACAGCTTTCCCTTTCAACCTTGATGTTTGTTGGCATTTTAATCTTAATTCAAAAAGCACAGAACTGTTTCTTAGAAGTCTTCAGCCTTCGCCATACTTGATTTTACTCCCGAGAGTAGATTGTCATGGAGGAGCATACCTCCCATAACCCTGTAGACTTTACGAGGCTGATATTGGGGATCCGCCCCTTGGGAGGGAGCATGCATGTGTGTCTCTACAATAGACACAGAACAGGCCCACGGCTATCATCTGCCTTTGACTTTATTTTCCAGTTGTTGTTTCATTCCCAAACCTTGAGAAACAAAAATAACAAATTTAATGGAGAAAAAAGTTATTAAAAAAGAGGAAATTGATTTTTGTTTGATTTGTCAAGGGAGGGGGGAATCTGGGTTAAATATCTTTTACATGGTGTTTAGCTTTTTGTGGCTTGATGACGACATACAGGCAATTGAAACGTATTGTTTATAACTGATCATGATTGGGTGAGGAAGAGATCCTGGCTCCAAGATGGTGGAGATATTGAATTGAAGATGTGCTAATGAAGCCAGTGTAGGACAGAGCCAGATAAAAGATTTTTGACTGAAAAAAACACCCCAGATGGCTATCAGCAGTATCTCCAGGATTTTTCTATGATACATTTGGTAGATAAAATAATGGTGATCAGATTAGAAAATAAGTCAAATGAAAAAGGGGCACAAAGGATTGATATTCATGTGCCTTGTATCACATTCTTGTTATCTTCATCAATTTACATATTAAAACTCAAATTTTTAAACTTAAGCTTATTCAAGGACCCATCTCAAAACAGTTTATCTAGATTAAAGGGCTTAAATAAAGGCTATGATCTTTGATCATCCTTAATTTCTATAGTCCTCTGGCAGGGAATTGACTTAGTTTTAGATACATGTAAATATACTGCCTCTTTCGTCTGTGTCCAAGACAAAAATTATACAATTTCTTCAACTCCTGAATGAAAGTTAAAGATATATTGATGACTGTAATTACTAGGCACTGCAGCATCATTCCATCACGAGTTAACTATACAAGATTGACTTGTTGATAAATGTTTACTATTTTGTTTTTATCATTTTCAGGACAAGAACCATATCAAGATGGCTACCAAGAGAAATGATTATACAGATTCACTGGTAAGAACAGACTTGTCAATAACACCTTACACACTCAGGAGCCCAAGGGCTGTGGTCTTCTCTACATTGCACAATCTCCTTGTAGGATGTAGGGGATAGGCCCAATGAAACTATTGCATGACATAAAGAGACCCCTGAAATGGTCTATATAATTTCAAAGTCTGCCACTTTCAGGTCTGAACTATATATATATATAGCTAGCCTCCCTTGGTCACCTACCACATTTAGTTTGATTCTACCATGTAATGGTCCTCATAATTAATGACAAATGAGATGTTTATGATATCTGTAGATGTTGACAAGGAGTCAGGCTTGAACTGATATACTGGAGGCCAAACAGGAATATATATAATTATATACAAATATTGTATGTTCCTTAGGGACAATTTTATTATCCCAACAAAAGTGTAGGCATCTTTCCTTGATTGGAGTGTTCTTATGTTTCACTTTCCATATACAAAGTGTACATTTATATTATAAATATTTCTAAAAATAAATAATTTTGATAATAATAAAACTTGACCCATCCCAGAAGACTTAACATCAAATTTGATTTTTAGGTCACCTGAGACAAAGTCTCAAATGACCTATTGCGATCGCCTTTTGTCCGTCGTGCGTCCGTAAACAATTTACATTTTCGACTTCTTCTCCAAAACCCCTCAACCAATTTCAATGAAATTTTGCAGCAACCTTTCATGGCCAAAGGTCAACCAAAATTGTGAATTATATGGTACCCAGCTCCTATGAGCCTGAGGGGCCGGGCTAAAAATTGTCAAATTGACTAAAATTTCAAAAATCTTCTTCTCAAGACCCAGATATGGTAGAATCAAATACTCTTCATAGATGGAAGGGTCTAAAGGTGCTTTACCAAAATTGTGAATTTCTTGACCCTGGGGTCACGTTTCCCCCTGGGGAGGGGGTAAACTGTACTATAGTTTATATAGGGAAATCACATTTTGGACCAACATTTGTTTAATTTCCATTGGAAGTAATTCAATTTAGGTTAGCATTATCAGTATTAGGTAGCAGTTTGATAGTATGCACATATGAGCCCTGAGTGACCCCCAGGGGCTGATGGGTGGGGCCAAAAAGGGTTGAATTGACTGAAATTTCAAAAATCTTCTTCTTAAGACCCAGATATGGTAGAATCAAATACTCTTCATAGATGGAAGGGTCTAAAGGTGCTTTACCAAAATTGTGAATTTCATGACCCTGAGGTCTCACGTTTCCCCCTGGGGAGGGGGTAAACTTTACTATAGTTTATAAAGGGAAATCACATTTTGGACCAACATTTGTTTAATTTCGGAAGTAATTCAATTTAGGTTAGCATTATCAGTATTGGATAGCAGTTTGATGGTATGCACATATCAGCCCTGACTGACCCTCCGGGGCTGATGGGTGAGGCCAAAAAGGGTTGAATTGACTTAAATTTCAAAAATCTTCTTCTCAAAGACCAAACACTCTTCATAGATGGAAGGGTCTTGTTTATGACCCTAGGGTCTCACGTTTACCCCCTGGGGAAGGAGGGGTGGGGGGGCAAAATTTATTATGGTTTATAATGGCAAATTATACTTTGAATATTACATGTTGATAACTTGATTGGAATTATAACCCTGAGTTGACCGTTTGATACTTTGAAAATTTTTAGCCAGCCCTACCCCAAAGGGCTGTAGGGTGGGGCCCAAAGGCGTCAGTGTGCTAAAATTTCTTCATCTTCCTTGTTTAGAGTCAGAGGTGCTAGTTTCAAATACTTTTAGTTTTAAATCTGTAAGGTAGATATTGAATAAGGTGGTTTTATTGTTTTTTGTCACTTTGAATAATATTTTTGTTCATGTTAAAATCAAAATCAACTCTCTGTATAAATATATCAGGTGACCGTTAAGGCCCATGGGCCTCTTGTTCAATAAAGATTGATGAGCGTTGAACATTCCACAAACTTGATTAGTGACGGACATTTTTTACTGTTCTTTTAAAAATTAGAAGATTGACTATATCAAGGTTCATTGGAAGAATGGGTAAAGAAAAAGGTAGATTCATGAGATAGGGATAACCCAGAGGACAATAATTTGGTCCTGTTGTCTATATATTTTCTCATGATCCTGGCATATAATATTCTATATATGTTGTCATCTCCCACAGAGGAGGCTCAGTGTTGCCATGGAAACACTTCTCATTCACATTTCTTTCGTGCTGAGCAAATTTTGTGTAAAGTGTTTAGTGATAATCACACTGGTGTGCTGCACACCTCAAGTATTGACAGGTAATTATATATATTGTACCATACTATTTCTTAACCACGATACAGTCTTTGATGGTGACCTTGGTTAAGACTAAATTCAGCTGAATTACCCTACTGCCAACTAAATGCTATACTCTGTCAAATTTGTATTTGTGACTGCATTTTGTAATTTTCTCACACCTCTTATTCAAATAAATCACTTCTTTGTCTATGAGAAATGAGAAACTGTAATTATATATATATACTTATCTCTGTAGTATCTACAAATAAGTCCTGACCTGTGTAAGTGTCGGGGGGGGGGGGTGTCCTGGGTAACTACCTGTATGATATAACTTTGTATCTCTGATATTAAGTAGTTTTGTGTTACTCTGTACATGTTGCAGGTGCTAGGTCATCCATTAAGAATTGGATTATAATATCAGTAAAGAGCTATGTAATTGATGTCATCAGGAAAGAACTAGGTCACATCTTAAGTGACGAACAAGGTCATGTTATTAGCGAAGAACAAGGTTATGGAGAAGAACAAGGTCATGTTATCAGCGAAGAACTAGGTTATGTTATAAGTGAAGATCTACAATAGGTCATGTTATCAGTAGAGAACTAGGTTATGTTATCAGTGAAGAACTACAGTAGGTCATGTTATCAGTGAAGATCTACAGTAGGTCATGTTATCAGTGAAGAACTACAGTAAGTCATGTTATCAGTGAAGAACTACAGTAGGTCATGTTATCAGTAGTGAACTAGGTTATGTTATCAGTGAAGAACTACAGTAGGTCATGTTATCAGTGAAGATCTACAGTAGGTCATGTTATCAGTGAAGAACTACAGCAGGTCATGTTATCAGTGAAGAACTACAGTAAGTCATGTTATCAGTGAAGATCTACAGTAGGTCATGTTATCAGTGAAGAACTACAGTAGGTCATGTTATCAGTAGAGAACTAGGTTATGTTATCAGTGAAGAACTACAGTAACTCATGTTATCAGTGAAGAACTACAGTAGGTCATGTTATCAGTGAAGAACTACAGTAGCTCATGTTATAGGTGAAGAACTACAGTAGGTCATGTTATCAGTGAAGAACTACAGTAGCTCATGTTATAGGTGAAGATCTACAGTAGGTCATGTTATCTGAAGAATTGCAGTACATTTTGTAGGTTATCTTATCTGTGAAGAACTAGGCCATGTTATCTAAAAAAAACACCAGTATGTCATGTTATCAGTGAACAATTAGGTCATGTTATCAGTGAAAAAACTACAGTACCTTACGAAGTAGATCATGTCAGCAAGGAACAAGGTCAAGTTATTTGTCAGAACTACAGTTGTCATGTTAGAAATGATGTCATTTCATCTTAAGAACCAAGTTATGTCATGCCACGACTAATTCAGCAGAGTAATATCTGAGGATCAATGTCATGTCATATGTGAGAGAAACTATGTCATGTCAGGAGCTAAGACATAAAAAAGTAACTATCATGTCATTTGCGAGGAAGCAGTTATGTTGTTTACTAGCTATAGGTGATGACGTATCTGAAGAACTTTGATATCTGTTAGATATCTTGGTTGTCTCTATACCAGTGTATGATAAATGATCTGAACTCTATCTGTTAGGAACCAGGCCAGCCCAGGTGATTGTTTTCTATGTTGAGGTGTGAGAAATGGTAAGGGACAGCCATGATAACTTCAAGAGTTTCTCAGACAAAATCAGATGACCAAATAACCAACTTCTTGTGTGCCTAACATGGTTTGTTGCCTAGGTACTGTAGTAAACTGACAATGCTCAGCCAGTAACAAAGTCAGTTTACAGACCTTTAGCTGATGGTGACGTTACTATGGTAGATAATCTCACACAAAAACTTGCCTATTGATTTTACTGGCGAGAGCATCGGGTCAATTTTAAGTTGAAAAGATATAGAAATGATCATGATATATCCATTAATATGAAAACTCATTCTATAACTTGACTCTGGTTTGTCTGATTAGATTCTGTTGGGTAGACATTCACGAAAGTAGACTTCAATATTTTTCAATTTAAGGCGGAAGTTTGATGTCTGCTGTCCTTGTATTGTGATGAATTGATGGAGATGACATAAATGGTTAAAGTCTAAAGCATTGAATTTTAACACCTCATCACATAACAAAACCATTTTCAAATGAAATATTCAGACACTTTTCAGTTCATTGGAATTATGTATCATTGGCAGTTACTTGTTGATTTGTACTTGCAGTCAGTGATCTCAAATTCAGAATTGTAGACAGCAAAAAATGCAAATAAGGCAATTTATGTTTTTTGGAAAACCTTCATATTTAATAAACCTTTATATAATTGATATTTACACACTGTGTAAAAGGTATTGTCTGCCTTAGGATCATGACGCCTCAATCAATTACATTAACCTTGTGTAAAGATATAACATTTTAATCATTTTGGTACTTAATGTTCTTCAGTTCTTTTCATATTTTCTGAACATTTGTTTCTTGTTGTACATTACTGAGCTGTCTTCTAAACTTCCTATTGTAAAAGGGGCAAAGTGATCTATATGAAGACTTGTCCAGTGTCCACCCGTTAATGCACTGCCAAATAGATGTGGAGTCCAGACATACTCCCCCTCTTTACATTTCCATCCATGATCGTAAGAGGCGACTTAATTTGGGACCTTATCTCTTCTCTCCTTTCTAAATAAATTTCTTCTTCCTAATGTCTCCCTTGACAATGCCTCACTTTTGGTCATTTGTTGAGCGTTCGCCCCTGTGAGGAAGGCTTTG